ATTGTTATATAGAGTTTATATAAATGGCATTGTTTTATAGAGTTTATATACATGACATTGTTATATAGAGTTTATATACATTTTGTACATGACATTGTTATATAGAGTTTATATACATGACATTGTTATATAGAGTTTATATACATGACATTGTTATATAGAGTTTATATACATGACATTGTTATATAGAGTTTATATACATGACATTGTTATATAGAGTTTATATACATGACATTGTTATATAGAGTTTATATACATGACATTGTTATATAGAGTTTATATACATGACATTGTTATATAGAGTTTATATACATGACATTGTTATATAGAGTTTATATACATGACATTGTTATATAGAGTTTATATACATGACATTGTTATATAGAGTTTATATACATGACATTGTTATATAGAGTTTATATACATGACATTGTTATATAGAGTTTATATACATGACATTGTTATATAGAGTTTATATACATGACATTGTTATATAGAGTTTATATACATGACATTGTTATATAGAGTTTATATACATGACATTGTTTTATAGAGTTTATATACATGACATTGTTATATAGAGTTTATATACATGACATTGTTATATAGAGTTTATATACATGACATTGTTATATAGAGTTTATATAAATTACATTGTTTTATAGAGTTTATATACATGCCATTCTTATATAGAGTTTATATACATGACATTGTTATATAGAGTTTATATAAATGACCTCGTTATATAGAGTTTATATACATGATATTGTTATATAGAGTTTATATACATGACAATGTTATATATAGTTTATATACATGAGATTGTTATCTAGAGTTTATATACATGACATTGTTATATAGAGTTTATATACATGGTATTGTTATATAGAGTTTATATACATGACAATGTTATATATAGTTTATATACATGAGATTGTTATCTAGAGTTTATATACATGACATTGTTATATAGAGTTTATATACATGACATTGTTATATAGAGTTTATATACATGACATTGTTTTAAATAGTTTATATACATGACATTGTTATATAGAGTTTATATACATGACATTGTTATATAGTGTTATTAAACATGGCGTTGGTAGAGCAACACATTTGGACTTTTTATGTTGAATTTAAAATATTACAACTTAAGTATGAATCGTGCAGATTTTGAGAATTTCTCATGAATTCTATCACAAAGTTAGGTTTGGTTGATATCCTTACAAAGCAGTTGTAGGTTGGGTAATTTATTAGGGAGCTTACACATTTTGATATTATTCTCAATAATGTGGAAGAAATATGTCTGATAATTCGTATCGCTATGACGTCACACCTCACGTGACCTCGTACAGAGTCACCTGGCCTGTCTATCATCTAAGTACCGAGATAGGCGGGGTCTCGGTATCTACATGTATTATTTCTTCAAATGACCGTAAAATATGAAATTATGAAAATTCGTCGCCAAAACCCTATAAACCCCAAAAAATGATATTTCCAGTGACCCAGGGAATAAGCTTCCTGTTTAATTATCAAGAGGTCTAGGGATCGAATCTATGCGATGGAGACGCTTTCTATGGGAAGAAAATTTCGAGTAAAACTCATTGCTGTTGTTAACTGACAAGTAACTCCAAATAAAAAAATTGTTAAACGAATTGGAACTCTCCTTTGTTGGAGATAAAACAAAAAGTGCTTGAACACTCTACCTTAAGACCTTCTCTCTAACGGTCATCTTTTAACGACTCGGTCAAGTTGCCTTGTACTGATCGAAAAATAGCAATAGTGCATATAAACTTCTATGATCGTTTGACAGAAGTTTCGGCGAAAAGTGATACTAGGTGTGAATGCCATTTCTTTAGCTTCGTGGCTTAGCATCGAGTAAGGAATCATCGATATCAATTAATTAGATTCTCTCGTATCATAGAAATCGATCTTTGCGGTGGGAGGTAGCCGATCAATTAACGCATTTTTTCCATTTCATCGTCGTATAGGATTTCGTAATTGTATATATACAGTATATATATATCGAGAGACATTTACCCTCATTGTGTGACATGACCCAGAAAAGACGAGTCGATACCATACATCTAAGCGTGTTTACCCGTCCACAGTCTTCATTAACATCAGGTGACCTATCAAGGGCGTTCGATACATTCTGTTTACCATTCTCGCCCACAGAGAGCCGATGGCCGATGCAATGCCAAACAGGAATTGATTTCTTGTTTACTAGCGTGTCTAACCGACTATCGCTTAATTAATACGAATTACAAGTCTGGACGAATCATATAAAAGTCAATATTTTCATTCAAGTTTTGAAAACAAACAAAAAATATATCGTGTATTGGGTTGTTTACGCCGTTCGTACATCCTTCCCAAGTTTCCTTTGCGGAAGAAAGGTTTTCAAAGAACAACGTACGATCGGGTTAGGTTAAACAGACTGGCGTGCTTGAAAATGTGACTTGTGCAAGTGCAATTCTAGATATTCGTTTGGTAAATGTAATAATTGTTTCAGTTAATATGGTTTAACGACGTTCGGTCCATGTTTGACGCACATACATGTCTTGCGTCTTAATGTCGTTGAGGGAGACAGCTGTTTAGAACAAGTGTTTCTGGCAGCCAAGGCTTCGAGCATATTTCTCTTTAATATATCCGACTGGATCAAACGGATGACAAAGGCGTTTCATGTTGTTTACGATCTGTGTATCGTTCACCACTTTACAGATCTGCCCTGAGTTGACATTTTAGCACCAAAGGTCGGCGTAAACAAAGATGATTGCCAAGTGATGCAAAATAGACCAAGACAGACTTACGTTTGATATTTCTGACCAAGTAAACATAACTCTCGTTCAGAACTAGACGCTTATCCGACAAAATACGTTGTAACGCCACGGGAATATTTACCGATAAAGTTAACAGATGTAAATACACATATATTAATGCTTGAGATTTCAACAGCATCCATTTGATTTGTAATGGAAGATGTGGGTGAAAACTGACCTCTGATATTTAAAAAAAACACAGCATTTTCCGAGGGACTTCCACGATACTACAATTTGAAGGGATTGAGAATACAGTCAATATTGACTATGTACTTCAGACTGTAATCTAAAGAAATTGAATTGAGAGATATTGGCAAACACATCCATACGTTACACAAACTCTGTCGTTCTCTGACAGAAAACATGTGTTTCTTTGCCAAAGATTGCTACAAATGTTTCTAACTGTCATCATGGCAAGCTCGGTGTTATACATGGTTGCTTCTAATGATTTAACTTTCCCCCCAATATGCAGATCCGTCGCTGGATCCGTAACACGTTGGAAGGACGGGGCTTCCGTAGTGTAACAATAAAGCGTACGGCTCTGTTGGGTTCCGTACAAAATATAGACTGGCCACGACGGTCGATTGCGGAGGAAGAACGAGTGTTACGTGATTACGGAAAAGCATTACATAACTGTCCGACATCCTGTTCAGCGAGGAAACTGTCTCCTCGGGATGGTGACATTTGTCTGGCACCGATATAAACGCTCAAAACATATATTACTGATGCCTGCAACTGAAATTATTTTAAGCTTTTCAAGCATACGTTGACACCGCAGAATGTAAATTCTAATAAAACATTTAACGTTTCTGTACCACATGTGAAACCTCTTACTCAAAATACGCTCTTTCCAAATAACATTGTGCTTTTATTGAAATATTTGAAATGATTTGTCCTCAAGCCAATGCTGCCTGAAGGTGACTGGCCTGTATGTGTCCAGTGAAGGGAATCCAAGACTTATTGAGTTTGGGAATGCCCACAGGAAAGTCCTAGCAGACCTTAATGGGTATCTTATTACAATACGAAGACACGAACAGACATCATAGATATGACACAACAGTTGTGAAAAGATTAATGTACAGGGAAAATTGGTGAAGGCGTCTATAGATTACGTCTATGCGGTAGTCTATTATTAGATATTTAACATGTGATCCACTGAATATTCAATTAAAAAGTAATATTGATGTCTGACTTTTCAACACAGACGAACCTAATCAATAAACCCAATTAAGAAGAACATAATTGCTAAAGGCGGACCACAATGACGTAAGCATTGCTTTGTTCTGTGTACACTCGAATACATTTCTCATGGAAAAAATTATATCGTATTAAATGGTTTGTCTGTGAGAACAAAATGTGGATAACATTTAAGATGGCTTCCAGTTAAACTTCTATAGTATGCCCCTCGTTCATTTGCCACTTCGTTTACCGCCAGAATATTTCAATATCTCCTTTTCTCGTTTTCTGAAGAATTTCTTAATACATGTCCCTTATTTTATCGCCAAACCCCTTTATGATGACACATTTTCTCTGGACAAATGGTGGCAGTATAACGAGGTTTTACTGTATGTAGTAATGAATGCCTTAATGGATGTTCATTTTTACCATCTTTTCATCATCGACTGCACTGAATAGAAAATAACGTCCTGATTTGCCAGTTTAAAATCGAGAGGGGAGGACGGGTTGGACGTTAGTGGGGTTGGCCGGGTTTCCAATTTACTACTGCATATATCATGCTTGTTAGGCTTTCAGCGTCATTATAGACATTTCAAATGTAAAGAGTAACATAAGTCGAAAAGGTACCATGTTTGTTTTAATAAAGTGGAACTCTAAACATTACTTGTTTTTAATTTAGGTTTATGGAACACCTTGTACCTTCACTTTCATCGTCTTTTACCAAACGGATAAGCTGTCACAGACTTAAGTGAGATGTGAGGAATACATATTTGAGAGTTGCTGCGTGTATATGGTAAGAATTAAATAATATCCGTTGGCGATAAGACCCATTGCATTAAGTAGAATGATTCAATTTTCGATAACAAAAACAGGTTGCATGGATTAAAAACCCCAGCTACATGATGAGGTTGTATGACACACAAAAGGGAAACAGTGCGTTGTTTCAGGAGCGACATACCGTATATGGTTTGGCGATGTATTGACAGGCAAGAAAAGCGCGCGATGGATATAGAGAACGACAGGGTAAAAACAAAGAGTATACCAGACCTCAAAGCACTGGAGGAGAATCCAAAGACCTCACTAAGAGACCGCTCCTCTGACGTCATAACAGCAGTACCATGGCGACTGGTACACAGGGGGACGATTCTGCTCAGACAAAACCCAAATAAAATACAGTCTTAAGCGAAATGACGATAGCATATTTCTTCCGTAATTCTATTTACCAAGAATTTCTGAAGAACAATTTGTTCACACATCTTATACTGCAGTATTATGTCAATGGTTTCAGCTCGAAACCGCAGGTTCAGAAGAGATGATTTGATACGGTAGATGTGATACGGTAGATGTAGATGTGATACGGTAAATGTGACCTTTGGCGAGTTGGCTTATGTTCCCAGCATTTGAGATATCTAAAAACACTCTACATACTCGTAAAATCCGGATGGCGATACATTTGATGCAATCACGAACATGAATACTAAATTTTGAAATATATTGGACAACTGATTCATTTTTAAACATTTACTAAAGACTCATTTATTGCGCGGACGTACATATTCATTCTGATTCGTTAGAAAAACACAAGTGTGTGGTCTTGCATATGTCCAAGAACAAAAGAAGTTTAGTATTTCAAAAACGATGACGTCTTTCCAAACTAATTGTGTTTTGCCGAGCCATCGATATTTCTCGATCGATCTAAACCATCCACATTATCACTATCTTAATGTATCCCTTACCTTGACAACGCCCATGTTATACCATGTTTGTTATTTCTTTTGAAAGGATGGGCATTTTGTATCCAATCAAGTAAACAAATCAACTACATCGTGTATACTGTGCCTTCTTTTGATTCATTCTGTTCGAAAAGTCTTTTACAAGTTTGGCAATGGTTTGTTTTCTTGTCCTTTGTCTTATTCGAAGGTTTGTAAATTTACTACTCCAACGATATCTGACACATATGTTTCGTTGCTGGAAGAGTCTTTGACAGGTTGGTAACTACGGGGTTTCTCTTGTTTTTTGTTCGTGTTGCATTTGATAAAATAAAGTTTGTTTATTTTCCTTTGACTCGTTGTTTTAAGAGTATTGTAACAGGTTGGATACCCCCCCACCCCCACCCTATTCTCTGGTTCTTTCTCGTTGTTTGTGGAGTCATGTAACCAGACGAATTATTACAATGCTATCGTGTATTTTGTCTCTTTGGTCGAGGAATTTGTTATAATTTTAACATTAACACTCAAACTCATTTCGTCGTTTTCCTCGTTGATGACCACAGTTATCTCTTTACTGTTCATACTACACCCACTTCACATATTATTTAGTTTGAAATTATCCAGTTCTCCTCTAGACGTCCAAATCTTGTTAGTTAAGGGGTTTACGCACCTGTCACCCGTAGTTAAAATAATTTGGATTTTCAACTTTTTGGCCCCTAACGTCACCTATTGTTCCAAGAATGACGTAGCAGCTGTATGCTGCAGTGTAATAAATTTTTGGCATACTGTATAATAAATGTACAGTCACCTGTATGTGTGTTAGGTTTATTTTTCAAAACTTTTTATTTTTATTCTTTCAGGAACCCTGTGCTATCTTCCTAATTGCTTCTGACTTTGAGGCTATTTTGTGATTTGGTTATCCTAATTTTACTTACCTTTTATCTCGACGGGGATTATTACTTTGACATCAGTAATCAGTAATCGACATGTACTTATTCCATCTTCATATCTGTCAAATCATCATAACAAATTAAAGGCGTTCACATGTGATGATGCTATCTATTTGAAATGTTCAACTTTACTTTCACTTGTAAAACAGGTTTTCCCACTCTTCAGTATTCATAACCATTCAGGTAAGTAAGAGATTGATAGCACCTTCCCCATCTTGAGGGAATATAGGAGAATCTCAGTCATTTAGGGAAGATTCTCAGTTGGCCAATTTGAAGCATCTTAAACGCATTCTTGCTTTAGCGTCTTTCTCGAAAAATATAGTATACATTTATAATGACTTGTTAAAGCCTCGATTTAGAACGTAACTCTTACAATTTTCAATAGATTTTGCTGTCCACGTCACCAAGTCAATATTCTATCAATCCTTCATCGTCATGTCGGATCTTAGACAGCAGTAGACTTTCTATTTTTGTCGCAAACATTATAGTTTCAGGTGGTATGTCACCAAAGAAGTCTGCTGTGGTTTTTTTTAGGATTGGCTGTCACTAAACTACCACTATCGCACTACAGCGTGCCTTAAAATAGAACTGCTGCTTTTTTGCTTGTTCAGTTATCGTTCCAAGTTACATTTCACCAATTGTCTTTGAATATCGGTGCTGGTCAGTTTAATACACACAATGGACATCATGGCACCCGTAATGGACGTCACCGATGGAACGCTGATGGGTTCTTCGCTAAGTCCTTTGAGGATTGGCTTTTGCGTGGCTTATGATTGACATAATTACATTAAATGCTCTGACTACCCTAATAATAGAATATTGTTTAATTTTAGACGCTGACTGCAGCAGATTCTGATCGCTATCAACCACCCACTTAAGTGGGGGCGGACTTGCGTTGTACAATCAGGGCTGGTTAGGTTGGCCACGTGCTGCTAATATCAATCCATATATGGAATTTCGACTTAAGGCAGTTATTCAATACAAAAGGATTGCTTGCATTCAAATACATTTGTTCAATGATATATTTAGTTATACATTTTTGCTGAAACTTTTATCATATATGGAAAAAATGGATATCATAATTTCAGATTGGTATAAGGCTGTGCTTATCCGAATATTAGGACAGCTATATTGTCAGTCTATTTGTAAACGCCGGAAGTGTTCGTCCATTGTCGTCTGTTACTGTAATAAGGATAAGAATGTTCCAGGTATCGTTAACATATGGTAACTGGAGGGAAAGTTTATAACATTGTTATATTTATGGCAATTAAAATCTAAATATGCATGTGCTGGAACTCATATGATTACAATTCAACTAATAACACTAATATACAATCACAGTTGCAGAATTCAATAACAAGTTAAATTGATATCCCAACTAGTTGTCAAACCTTTGGTTAAATTTATGAACATCTGAAAGTTTCTTTAGTCGTTACCTATTAAAGGGCAATTGCATGTGACACATCGCTCTGTAGCTGATGAGGCTGGACTCTGTCGCTCGTGGACGACTATCCTTCCCTAGGAGGTCCATTTTTTATGAACCTTGATAATGCCCTCGTCAATATAAACGTCTCGGATTATACGCACTTTGTGTTACTGTCTAGGATAGTCGAACATGATTAATTAATATGTCAATAACCAATCCAAAACAGACGCTTCTCAGATTTTACGTCAGTGTAGATCGTAATTTCCCCTCAAACTTAACAGAAGCTCCACCAGTTTGATCAATATGTAAAAAAAAGCAAATCATTATTAACAGAAAATATCCAAATTGTATCCTCAAGCCAACTGTCACCTACGTCATTGATACAATATATAAAGAGATATCTTACTTCCACTTTCTATCGACTTCATCAAGGGAAATCACTTGTAACGGAAACGGATAACTACAAGTAACGAAAAGGCTTCCTGGCTGTCATAACGGCTGTTGGGATGAACAGAGGTTGGACGCTGAATATGTCGCCATAACGATCGAGTGTCTATCTGTTCGGAGGATTTATCAATCGAATCGGTAAGGCTAGCGTGTTAAAGACGTCACAGATCCAACGATAGCCGACTAAGACAGAGTCAAATACGTAATATAACCGGCTGTGACCGTCGAGGACAAACATACGTCATTCATGGAAACGGATATGGAACTCTCTTTATTGTTTTCTATTTAAATAAGGAATATATAGCATCCACTATGACGCAGCATGTTATATTCACAATCTGCTGCACAACGGATCTATAAATAGACACAATTAACATTGAGTGAAGGATTAGCTTTGCTTTGTTCGGATATCGTTTGGTGATTGTTTAATTGTTAAAGTATCCATTTAAAAGATTTTTATTGCATCTTGAACGTCAAAAGAAGACGTCAGTTATTCTATGCGTATTATACTTACACAAGGAAAAATGTAGACGTATTCTCTAAGCATTTCAATTAAAAGAAAAAAGAAAGACATCAATTTTGTTTTCTTGTGCATGATGTTAAATGATAAGGTATTACACATTTTAGACGTTTTCTTTTATCGTTTACATTTCAACACAGTGAATTGGAACATGTAAGAAAATCTATCTTAATTGAAATCTGCGCAATACAACCTACATAGTGTGAGCCTATAAAGAAAGGCCAAGGTCGATTACATTCCCCGCCATGCAACATCATATACCATTGGCTCACCATAAACATTTCGACAAGGTCAAGGTGCTTCAACGTCGAATTACATAATACTCCTTTCCAACATTGCTAACAATGTGCCAACGTACTGTTTATCACTGTGAGTAGAATCCACTTACATTCTGATGAAGGGCAAGGTCGTCTTGTTTACGTTCCCGTCGTTGTTCCATATGTCTAAATGCTCGGATCTTGCTGTAGTGATGTCACAATCGGAGGGACTACATTAACGTGTGTATGGTTGCATAGCTACCGAGGACTCCCGAGGGGCTGTATCGTTACTGAGTAAAATGAGATACTAAATCATACGCGAGGTTCAGTATCCTTTCTAAAAAAAACACAGTTATTACGAACTCGGTTATCACGAATAGAGCGTTTTTGTAGCTTTTGATGATCTCAAAGATTTCGAAACAAAACAGTATTGTGGAAATGTAGCCCACATTTGAATGCGATATGCATTATACAAGACCAGTTTACAGTGTCTTTTTACGGGACATCGTAACCCTACCACATGTGATGCAGGAAACCGTATGGAATTCAAAATATATCTTCCGCATTTGTTTTTGGAGGGGGAGGGGGGCATGATATCGTCACATTTCGGTGTTTTATTGTATCCTGTTGTTTTCCTTTTCTTTTCGGTTCCTAATTTTCCCCTTGCATACCTACGCTGTATTTCAAAGCATTGTAATGTTTTACGTTTTACCTTATCATTGTACTCAGCACATTTTCTATAGAGTGATTATTTTTACAAACAACAGGCAAAACTGGAAGTATGCACAAACAAAAACGTAGAATCTAATGTTTTTAGTAATCAGCGAGTTTTGGAATGGACTGAGACGTCATTGATATACATAGTAAGGATAAGAAGGTCCTTTTTCATTATAGTCTAGCCATTAAACACGACACTCTCCGCTATAAACGTATCACGTGGTAGACATACCACATGTCAAGTCGTGAACGCGTTTGACGCAAAGACGAAATACGAGCAAACAAAAAACAAGCATACAAAAAGGTCTTATAATGCATACCACATGTCACACACGAAATTCTTTTTGACGTAGTATACGATATATGAGGTGAGAAAACAGAAGTCATTCTTGGTTCACGTGATCGCAAATGTCCCGGTGTACCTTGATATATGAATGTATATATTTTTTTCAATTGATTTATTGTTAATTTCCATATTTATAATTACGTACCGATTTTGATGGCACCAACTGAAGGCATTATTTTATGTAATCTTTTCGAAATTGAATTTTAATTGTACAAACGAAGAGAAAAAACAAGACAAAGCTTTTGACCTCGGGGGATTATGTCATGTAGAATATCAATACATATTCATTTCACTGCTTAATCTATTGTCACACCGTGATATTTTACCTGTATTTCATGTAGCAATGTCATGTGTCCAATAACTGTGCTATTTTATATGTAAATATGCATTCCAGACTTACATAATTATGAAATCGAGATAAATCTGTTGAATTATGCATTTTGATGAAAATTCGATAACGGTGTTTCCATAATAATCTATATCATGCATGCTAAGCGTTCCAATACATAATGTTGACCGACTCCGTGGTTCAATGTCGAGGGTTGTGGGATTTATTGTGGCAATATTTGCATCGGTATGTTTGGAAGAACATTCCATAGACACCAGGAAACTGATTATAAAACATGTATTCTTACGGCAACACCACGTCGTTAGCTGGCGACACCACCAACCTATCAAGGTCACCCCAATCACGTGGTGTCTCGTGTTCCTAAACAGGGTCAAACCTTCAGAAGGGTAGCAAATTACAGCAGTCATTATTATCACTTTTGCATGATATTGAAACTTCACTGTCTCCAATGTCAAACTGAATACGGTATATGTAATGTATGATTATGATTTTGTGTGTAAATATTTCCTTCATATCTTTGTATTTTCAGTGATTATTTCACGTAACAAATTGGGTGGCTCTCCTTGTGGAGTCTACAAACAAACGTTTTGAATATGGACTTTATTTTATTTTTTCTCGTAATGGGAGAAATGAATCCGGACAGTAGGTAGTTTTTTTTCCAATTATTTTAATTAACGACTAATCGGCAATAAGATGTCTGCAATACCATACAAAATAGCTTCTGGAAAGCGTTTGAATGATCATGCTTTTTGAATATTGTTTCTGATAGCAATTTACTCCAAATGCTCCCATTCGGCCTAATTCTTTAATTCATTGTTAAATATGCACAACTGATATCTAGTGGTTTTTTTAAGTCTATATCATCAGATGGTTTGCAATCCGGAGACAATATCCTGGATGAAAAAGGCTAATGAAAAACAACATTATCTGGTTATCCGAGTGTCCAAAACATATACAGATCTCTGACCTCACCTCAGCCATCTCCAATCATGATATCTGTATTGCTGAAGGTTTGTGTGCTTTACTTGATATGTAGAACAATGTCCTTCGCGATACGAAACTGTGTTTTAAATTAACTCAGTGTACACTTTGGGGCACTCGTCGTATGTCGTAAAGAGGTC